TGCCAGGAAAGCACTTATTCCATTGAGCCATCTCCCCGGCCCCCGTTGTAGATATTTATGAGTTCTTTATTTCTAGAATTTTGCTTTTAATTTTTGTTTTATTTTTATGTTTTGACAATGGTTGATCATACCTAAGTAGAACTGTGGAAAGGAAAACTTTAACTGAGGGGGATGATTGTGTTTCAGTATTCTTTAGTATGATTGTATTTACTAGCTGTTAATTTAGGGGCTACATTTTGGGGCTTTTCTTTCAGTGATCTGGCAGTTTGATACTGTGATAGTGTAACTTTCTCAGTGTGGTCAGACTGAATCCGTGTATATTATGTAACTGGAAAGTAGATGCTGGGATGATAAGAGGCTAGTGCTGCTATGGTTTTTGCAGGGCGGCCCCCAGGACCTGAAATGGAATACTGTACAGACAGAGAGTCGTACTCGTTAGCTGCCGGCCTGGCCCTGGGCATGGTTTGCTTGGGGGTAAGTGGGGCCTGTACCTTCCCATGCTTTGCTTTGGACATGTACACGTTGAGTTGGGTAATCCTGACACTTGGCTCAGGGTGCTGGTCTGCCTTATTGTGACGTCACCTGTGTGTCTTCTGTGGATGTTTTTCAAAGTACCAGATATGCAGATAGAGATACACTACAGCGGAACTTCAGGTATTTTTTCTGACCTAGATGTGATTATGAATGAATGAAGGGAACAAAATTTCTTGAAAAAAATCTAAAAACAAGGTGAAGAAATGAACAATAAAAACAGAAAATATATGTAACGGGGAACCTGAAGAGCCTGTAGCAATTGTTAGAAATAATCTGTGACTGATTATGTCATTCTGGGTTCACCATGTATCCCAGAATGTTGCCACAGGAACATTTGCTGTGTGAGAAAGTACACTGTCAGGCTGATTCAGTTTTGCCTCCATCCAAGAGATAGATATAAAATTACTAAAACATTTTATTAAGTAATTGCTTCATGTGGAATGCAATTCCCTGACAGAGCCCCAGAATAGTATTATGGCCAGTTAAATGATATAAAGAAAGCTATAATGAAATGAGTTTTTCTTAAGTGCATTCTGAAAGTCCACCCTGTGTTTAGTCTTTTGTGGGATTTGACTTCATAGCTGGTTTATAAACTGAAGAGGCTGTGGTGCAGTGGAAAAGCATACTGAGATTAAGACCTGAATTCTGGCCCTGAGTCAGGAGTCAGCTCATTTAACTTCTTTTAGCTGTTGCTTAAGCAGCCCCTGGACTGTTCACCAAGCTGCTTTGTTTTGCATCTGACCCTGCCATTCAATAGCTAGGTTGCCCTGGACCTACTGTGTGCCTCACTTGCCTCATCTATGAAAAGAGATTCCTGTAGGGTTGTAGAATTAAGGAAGTTAATTCATGTTAAACACAAAATAGTGCCTGGTACCAAGCAAGCACTCAGTAGGTTGTTGTTATTGTTATTACTAGAGTTATTGTTGCTGGATAAGTTTGCAAGCACAGTGATGGCAGTGTCCTGGCATTTACTTAAGGTTCAGTTACATACCTAATCTTTTCCCTTACTGTAGTTAATATTTTGAACCTTTCGTGTATTTTATGAAAGTACTTAAACTTGAACATACAAATAGTTTGAACATTACCTCATGAGTAATGTTTAATTAAAAATAAGTAAAAAAATGAAGTGCCCTGCTTTAAAGTTAGTTTCCGTTGTTTGTCATGAGTGTGTATTATGGGTTGTCTTCTGTAAGTTTTCTTTTTTTTGGTGGAACCGGGGATTGAACTCAGGCCCTTGTGTTTGCCAAGCAAGTACTTATTCTACTGAGCTGTCTCCCTGGCCCTTACAAGGTTTCTTTTCCTGCCTGTATTTTGTTTTCCAGCATGGCAGTAACTTGATAGGCATGTCTGACCTCAATGTGCCCGAGCAGTTGTACCAGTACATGGTTGGAGGCCATAGACGCTTCCAAGCAGGAACGCACAGGGAGAGACATAAATCTCCAAGTTACCAAATTAAAGTAAGTGTACATCGCAGTAATAGACCAAGGTGCCAGAAGCTAGGGAATTAATTTGGAATTTTTTCTATACCAACACAATTATAAATATGCCAATTTTAAGCATGAGTTAATTTTCAGATAAATATTATAATGCAGAGCTCTTTTACACAGCCTCTTTTCTTTCACTAGGAAGGCGATACCATAAATGTGGATGTGACTTGTCCAGGTGCTACTCTAGCTTTGGCTATGATCTACTTAAAGACCAATAACAGGTATTGTGCCCTTGCCTGCCCCACCGTGACGGTATGACATTCTTTCTCATCTGCTCATTTCTCCTGTGAGAAAGCAACATGATTTTCTTCTCTCAGTCCTGTAAGCTACACAGATTTCATTGACAAGACACCTTGCTGTCTTACCCTGCAGGACAGTGTGCAGAGTCCGTCAGGGTCTGCAGGGTGTTTCACAAAATTCACGGCTGCTCAGGTCCTGTATAGAAAGTGATGTATAAACTGTGCACATCTTGTATACTTTTTTTTGGTCCTGGAGATTGAACTCCCGGGCTTGACTCTAAATTACATCTGTATCTTTTTTTTTTTTCTTCATTTTGAGACAGGGTCTAGAGTCAAATCACTTGTCTAGGATAGGCTTGAACTTGGGATTTTCCTGCCTCAGCCTCCCAGAGTGCTGGGGTTACAGCCATGTGCCACCATGCCCAGCCCTCATATACATTTAAATCATCTGCAGGTTGCTAATAGTATTTCATATTATAAAAATGCTGAATAAATGGTTGTTGTACTGTATTGTTGAGTGAATAATGACAGAAAGAGATTGAATGTATTCAGATCAGACACCTTTTCCCCCCTAATATGTTTAATTGGATGTGGAACCCACAGATAGATATAGAGGCTGAACTGTAATCACCAGCTTTTACTTATTTCTGTTGTGTAGTTGATGTTACTGACCTCGAAACAGTACTCAAGTTGCTCTTCGTTAATTTTCATATCATTATAAGGAATGGTTACTACTTAACATTGCTCTTTCTCTGGCTAGGATTTATGTAAATAGTTTCTGCTTAGTTCGAGAGCTTTTCTCATGACCAAATCTTCCGCCTTGTTACCCTCTCTAATTGCTAAAATTTGAAACTGTGCGCATTTATTCCTACACTTTACACAGACAGGTAAATTGGGTTGGGAACATGTAAGTCTTTAAAGCTAAAAAATATTTTAAGGTTCTTTAAGAAATTCGTTAATGCTGTAAATTTCTGCCTTTAGAAAAAGTGAGTTTGTACTGAATTAACAAAGTGGTAAAATACATTTATTCATCTGCTGCTTAGATGAGTATGTATGTCAGAACCCTCTTGCACCGGGATTATTTCAGTGAACAAAAGACAACTATCTGCCCCCACGGAACATGCGTCCTGCTGAGATACAGCACATATATCATAGCCGTTGTGTTAGAGTATAGAGGAGCATGGGGATGACTGGTGGAGAAGGGGCTTGAAGAAGGCCTTGGGGCTCTTCATTACCTTGCCCTCTGCCTGAGCAGCCAGCTCACTGCCATCTGCACCAACAGATCCATCGCAGACTGGCTCCGAGCTCCTGACACCATGTACTTGCTGGACTTTGTGAAACCAGAATTTCTCCTGCTTAGGGTATGTTGCTTTGTCATGTTTTATTTCTGTTAATGTGAGGGTGCTCCTTGTGATTTCCAAACACAGCCTGCATTCTGAATGCCTCTAAGAGAGCCTCTTACTGTATTTTCAATTTATCATGTGTATCTGGTTGGCAATGTTCTTTTTAAATTTCCCAGATATGTATAGGAGTTCTGAGAAAGGTAACCGCATTGATACATAATTCCTAAGTAACATTTCAGCTTTTTGCATTATTCAAAGCTTCCTAAAAAGCAGCAAGTGACTAGGATTTTGTTAATTGGTTTATCTTAAATTTTTCATTAACTATGTAATAATACTCTTAAGGTGATATTGACAGTAACAATTTGACAGTTGCCTAAAATTTTCCTTCTATCCTTTTTTAATATTTAAATTTATAGTGTGGAAGCCTTTAAATTATGATGTGTAAACAGAGTGTGATTCTCTCCTTTGTGACTTTTTTTTCTTTTAGAAAGCAAGTTAGAACCTTCTCCAGGCCCTCTAAACTTCGAGGGTTATGAACTTAAATTTTAGTTTACCTGAGATTTAAATCTTTATTTTAATGGGTATCTTAGCTATTTTATTTTTAAAATTTTCATCAGTTGGAAACTGATTCATAGTTCTATCTAATATTATTGTTGTTACAAAATCTGAGACTTTTTGCTGCTTTAATTAATTTTACTTGTGATGTTTTAAAGACACTCGCTAGGTGCCTGATTTTGTGGGATGACATTCTACCAAATTCCAAGTGGGTTGACAGCAATGTTCCTCAAGTAAGTACAATAGTAAATATTTTTAATAGTGTTAAATCATAATGTCTTATGGGGTTTTCCAAAATTCTACACAATGTCTTTTATTGTGAAGGTAATATTGATCTTTATGATATCTCTTGAAGAAAGGAACTTTCATTTAAAATTTTGTACTGACTATAGACTTCCTTTCTTTTTACCATTGGTCTGTAGAAATTAATATTAAAATTAAATATTCCAGAACTCTTTAAAAACTGGTGGTGCACATCTGTAATCTCAGCACTCCAGACACTGAGGCAGGAAGATCACCATGGCTTTGAGTCCAGGCTGGCTACATAGTGAGTTCACATAGCCTGGAATATATAACGAGACTTTGTCTCAAAAAAAAAAAGGAAAGGTATTTTTGATGTTTCCATTCTAAATAAGTACATATTTATCTAAGGTACTATTTGTGACTATTATTAATAATCTATATAACTGGTTTTAATTTCTTTATAACATGTATATATGTGTGTATATATATATAAAATAAGTTAAATAGCTTAGTTAAAAGGAGGCAGACTTTTGTAAAAATTCAGAATCAAATATTATAATTAACCATTGATTTTAATCAGTTGCTCCTTTATACAGGCAGTTTCTCACCCTTTGTATGTGAAAGTAAATCTAATGTTTAAGAAGATGAGATTGTTTCATTTTTGATAAAAAAAAATTGTCAGAATGGACATTGAAAGAACTTTGTGTTTTTGTTTGTTTGTTTATTTTTTAATGTATTTGGTACAGGGTCTCACTGTGCATCGTGGACTCGGTGGTGCCGGGAATCTAACCACAGTTCTGGCACTTGCGTAAGCAGGCTCTTTAGTCTGCTGAGCTATCTCGCTGGCCCAGAACTTTTGTGTTTTATGTGAACACTCCTGTTACTAATTAATTCTATTATCAGTATTTTACTGTATAAACTTGCTCAAAAGCACATCTGTTTACTCACCTATTTGTTTATCTGTTCCATAAATGTTTTAATACATTTCAAATTTGCAGGCAATAGTGAATTTGTTTCTAATATTTTGGTATATCTATCACTATTTACATTTACGTTCTCCCTTTTAAGATACATTTTTTTATGCCATGAAATCCTCAGTGTACTGTTCGGTAAGATTTGACCAGTGAATATGCCCAGTGAAACAAAGCTGCATTCTCTGTGCTGTGTGTCAGCCTGTACATTCAGCCCTCACCCTCTGCTCTTAAGGGAACCAGTATTGTGGTTTTCTTCTCTCAAATGGATTAATTTTACTGATGTAGGAGTTTATACTAATGAAATCACATACAATATCTTTTTTTTTTTTTTTGGTTGAACCGGGGATTGAACTCAGGCCCTTGCACTTGCCAGGGAAGTACATATTCCACTAAGCCATCTCCCTGGCTCCCTATAGTATCTTTTTGTATGACTTCTTTTCGCATGATTTTGAGATATTATTGAATATATTCATTCATCATTTTATTATTAGGTAGTAATCATTTTATGAATATGCCACAGTTTCTTTTTCTGGACAAGTTCTAGATTTTGGCTGTTCTGATTCAGGCTTCAGTGAAAATTCTGTGCATCTTGTATAATAGTTAAGAGCTCAGTGTATCACCTTTATATGGGAAGAGGTAGACTTGTCCAGAATTGCCCTGTTTGAGGGTGGTGTACAACTGAAATCCAGCAGTTATATCTTCAGAACCTGGGGGTTCCTGAGCAGTTTCCTGCGGCAGGAGATGACCCCGGGCCTGGAGCTGGGCCTTCCCTGTGTCATGGCTCCCAGGGGCCAGTCTTCACTCACCCCTCCAACCAAGAAGGCCTGACTGCCTCTGGGGCCCAAACCTGAGTCAGCAACAGCCTCACCGGGCCTTCCCAATGGAGAAAAAGAGCAACAAGAAGCAAATGAATACATTGATGAAGTACAAAATAAATTAGATTTAATGAACAAGCCAGTGAGGAAATACTGAAAACAGAAATATAACAAACTCCACCAACCATTTTTTCAGAAGACATCAGAATTGATCGCCAAAATCTCAAATTATTGGGTAACAACATTCGTTAACCACCCACAAGTGTCTGCGCTGTTTGGGGAGGAAGACGAGGAACCTTTGCATTATTTGACCAGAGTTGAAGTGACAGAATTTGAAGATATCAGATCAGGTTACAGAATAGATTTTTATTTTAATGAAAATCCTTACGTTGAAAATAAAGTTCTCTCCAAAGAATTTCATCTGAATGAGAGTGGTGATCCGTCTCAAAGTCCACTGAAATCAGATGGAAATCTGGAAAGGACTTGAGGAAACTTGACTGCGTTCAAGTCAAACGCAGAATAAAACCAGTAGGAAGAGGCAGCACGAAGAGCCCGAGAGCTTCTTTACCTGGTTCACTGACCACTTGGACACAGGTGCAGATGAGCTAGGAGAGGTCATCAAGGATGACGTCTGGCCCAACCCGCTGCAGTACTGCCTGGTTCCCGACATGGATGATGAGGGAGAGCGGGAGGGAGAGGAGGAGAAGAGGCCAGAGACAGGAGGATGATGAGGATGAGGAGGGTGAAGAGACAAAGGAGATGACTTAATACTGATGGATTCCGATGCTTTTGTCTGTCTTTTCTTTTTTTTTTTTTTTAATTTTAATTTTCTCCAGTCCCTGGGAGCAAGTTGCAGTCTTCCCCCTACCCCTTGTACTTAGATGCCCTGTTCTTCAGGTCTTTCTTCTCAAACACCATGGTTCTTGACTTACTTTGTGGGGAGAAACTTTGCAGAATATACTGGGATGAGGATCTCCACAGCTTTCTGTTTTTAATTCTTTTTGATCCCCTCCTGTCTCCACAAACTTTTTGGAATCAACACCACTGTGCTCTATGGGAAAAAAGAAAACTCTCTGTGCTCTTCGCTCTGCTGGAAGCTGGAGGGTGCTCGGCTCTTGTGTAGTAGTGCATAGAATTCTAGCTTTCTTCCTTCTCTTTGTATATTGGGCTGAGATTTCACTGTGTCTCTATGTCAAAATGGATAGTTAACATTTCCCAACATGTACCTGTTTACTTTGTCTCGTTTAAAAAAAGATTTATTATTTTTTTTAAATGGGGAATAAAGGTCAGCAAGGGTGGATTTGAGATGTTTGGCTGGGTTAAGTGGACGTTTGACAACATGGCTTCTCCTTTGGTATGTTTAATTGTGATGTTAACACATTCTTGCAGTTTAAGATGATACTTTTAAAATAAATGAGCCCTCTCTACATGCTGAAAACTCAAACTTGACCCAGGTCTATCACCATGCACTAAACTAACGTCAAAATGGATTAAAGATCTAAACATTAAAGCAGAGACACTAAATCTCCTGGAAGAGAAAGTAGGAG